TATGGATGTTTGTAAGCCACCGTCTGGGGAATGGAACCTGCATCCTATGCAAGAGTAGATTAAGTTCTCTTCAACTCTGGCCTTGAACCCACGAGATCTTACTTCTTTTAAATAAACCAGGTCAGCAATTCCTGTCTAGTGACAGCTTCCCCGACAATGAAGGGTTAACACCGAGTTAGGTCAAGCACCTAACTCAAAGGCAAAAGCTTCTGGGGGAAATGAGTTGAGTTAAATAAACCCAAGAAGCTGACGTGGGCAGGATTTCTTCTGCCTGACCCACTAACAAATGCAAAGCAGATATTTTAGTGTTTTTGGCTTTTTTTAAGCTTCAGTGGGGCATAGCCCCTGGAAGCCAGAACTTGGCTTTGAGGCCAGGCCTGGTGGAGCCCTGAGGGATGAGGACAGTTGGCTGAGGAGGAGAGTGGAGGAGCAGCCTGGGTCAGGGAGGAAGCCACAGCTGCTCCTGGGGGTGGTTCTGATTGCTGTGTTGGCGCTTTCTTCTTGCCCGCTATAATTAAAGCTTTCCCAGTATGATTCTGGCTTCCTAAGGAAAATAGAACTTATTAAAACAGGCAAGAAACCAACACAAAACAGTAGAGATGGTTGGTTGCGGGATATGTGTGTGTTAAATCATAAAGCCCTCGTGTCGTGAGGTCAATGCTTGCTGGTCATTTTTATTGTGGTATTATGGCCCTGGCAGGAGGGGATCTCCTAAGAAAACAGCAAAATAAGAGGGGAAAAAACAACAACAACAACAACACCTAAGAGTGCCCACTAAAATGGATTGTGACTGGCCCAGCACTCTTGTTACTCTGGGCACAAGGGGAACACTCCCCTTACCCCCCTCCACTTCAGGCTTACTCTGCACCCCACCTCGTTTGCTGCCATTGTTCTTGAGACAGGGTCTCACGTAACCCAGGATGGCCTCGGATGGACTTGCTCCATAGACAAGGACGGCCTTGAGCTCCTAACCCTGCCTCTACCTCCTAAGTGCTCGGGTGACAGGAGGGCACCGTGGTTCCAGCCTTCATCTCACCTCTTAATTTCTTCCCACACACCACGTGGACTCTGCAGGCCGAATAAGTCAGCTGTGGTATTTCCCCTCAAAGGATGTGACTTTCCTCCCCCCACACGGCTTTGACAGTTTTCTCATTTGCTAGCTGAGGAGGATATCAAGAGACATGGACCTTCTGGTCTCGCCTAAGAGGGAACACTCAGTAACTGTTACGCTTCAGCCCCTGACTAGCCTGACTATCCCTCCTCCATGCCCTCACCTACCATCTCTTCACAAACATTCTGCTCACCCCGCAGCACGTTCCACCCCCACAGCCCCCGCCTGCTAGATGTGGCGACGCCATAAGGCTCTTCCAGCCTTTACCCCACAACGCTGTCTGCTCGCAAGAGAGTGCACAGGCCCCTGGGAGTGCTTGCTTTCTTTTTGATCCTGATTAGACCCCAGACTAACCCAGAGGAGTCAGGTTTTTGGTGATATTGAGCTACATGTGGAGGGAGGGAAAATGTCAGCCATCCCTTCAAGAGCCTTGTCTCTTGGAAACAGAAACTGCCTGAGAAATCAATCTTTCGGCTATTTAAGGCAATTTCTTTTCCATCATCTTTTGTCAAGACCACTGTATTAGGAATGACTCTGGAGAGTCCCTGAACTGGTCCATGCCACTCAACAGCGGCAGCTCCCTCCACCAGTGAGAATTTACAAGTACGCAGGAGGGTACTGAGGGCTTAGAAAGTAGCAATTTTTAATTTTTCCTTTTTTAGATGTATGTGTATGACTTTTTGCCTACATATATGAATGTGTACTGCCAGGTGTGTGCCTGGTGCTGGCAGAGGTCAAAGGAAATTGGGTCCCCTGGAACCGGGATTTCAGATGGTTGTGAACCACCATGTGGGAATTGAACCCAGGTCCTCAGCAAGAGCAACCTGTGCTGTTTACTACCGAGCCATCTCTCCAGCTTCGAAACTAACAATTAAAAAAATATATATTTATTTTTATTTCCTGGTTTTTGTTCGTTTGTTTTCAAAACAGGGGTTTCCCATGTAGCCCTTGCTGTCCTAGAGAAGACCAGGCTGGCCTCGATCTGCCTACTTTTGCCTTTGTGTTGGGATTAAAAGCATGCTTTGGTTTTGTTTTTGACAGTGTCTCTCTGTATAGCCTTGAACTTACAGAGATCCACCTGTCTCAGCCTCCCAAGCGCTTCGATAAAATGGGTGCATGACCACACCTGGCTAACATTTTTAACTGTGTGTGTATATGTGTGCCTATGTGTGGCTGTGTGCATTTGAGTAGGTACCCTCAAGGCTAGAGGGACTGGATCCACTGAAACGAAATAAGCTGTAAACTGATGTGGGTGCTGGGAACTGAACCAGGGTCCTCTGGAGCAAGTTAAGAGCAAGTTAGTGCTCTTAACTTGAGTCCTCTCTCTAGCCTCATAGACACTAGCAAACTTTCCTTACCTCCTAATTTCTTTCCAGAAAACCTACCACACATTGACCTCCATTAAACGGGTTTTGCACCACAGACCCGGGTTAGAGTAACAAGAATATGCCAGAAGAGCACACATAGGTCTACATCTTTTACGTTCTCTCCTACAGGACTCTGTGCAGATCGAGTGTTTACATTAAAGAGACCACTGCCACAGTAAGGTGTGAGAAGAGGCCTGGGTGAGGGCATTTACTGTGCTGCCGTAAGCCCGGCTCTTCTTGTCTCCATTTATGTCTATGACAGGCCAGGGAGTTTTATGCTTTCCGGGACCATGCACTGGTATCTCTCTTCATGACATTCCATCTTCAAGGCTATTTCCTACAGCAACCATTTTCAAACTGTGTTCCTCGGGATCCCAGGAAGTGCCAGCGAATGTGTTACAGAAGCCGCTAAAGCGTAATGGTAGGGCTCTGCACCCAACCCAGCCTCGTCTCTGGTTTCTTTCAGGTGGTGAGATTTCTCCTTAGGAGTTGATTTATAGCCAGGTGGTGGCGGTGCTGACTTAAATCCCAGCACTGCAGAGGTAGGTGCATCTCTGTGAGTTCAAGGCCAGCCTGGTCTACAGACTGAGTTCCAGGACAGCCAGGGCCACACAGAAAAACCTTGTCTTGAAAGACCCAAGAACCCAAACCAGAACAAAATAAAAAAAAATGATTTATTTTATTATTTTTGTTTTTTTGAAGACATGGTCTCTGTTCAGCCCTGGCCATTGAGGAACTCACTCTGTAGACCAGGCTGGCCTCAAACTCAGAGATCCAACTCCCTCTGCCTCCTGACTGCCGAGATCAAAGGTGTGTGCTATCACCACCCAGCTAGTTCTTAAACATTCTAAATTTCAATTCCCAGCACCTACATGGCAGCTCACAACTGTTTGTAACTCCAGTCCCAGGGGATACGATGCCCTCACACAGATATACATATAAGAAAAAACACCAATGCACATAAAATAAATTAAAAAATAAAAAAGCCAGGCAGTGGTGGTGCACACCTTTGATCCCAGCACTCGGGAGGCAGAGGGAGTTGGAGCTCTGAGTTCGAGGCCAGCCTGGTCTACAGAGAGAGTTCCAGGACAGCCAGGGATACACAGAGAGACCCTGTCTGGAAAAACCAAAAGAAAAAAAAAAAAAAAGACTGTTTCATGTAGCTCAGGCTCGCTTCCAATTTACAGTGTAGTTTAGAATGGCCTTGACCGTCTGATCCTCTCTGCCTCTACCTCCCAAAGAGCTGGGATTACAGACACCCACCACTACACCGGTTTTATGTGGTGCTGGGGTTTGAACCCAGGGCTTTGTAAATGCACTCTACCACCTGAGCTCCATCCCCAGCTAAAATCTCATTTAAAATGTACAGTCTGTTTGGGTCCCTGCTCAGCGGTTCCCAGGCTCCAGGGACTCCTCGGCAAAATCAATCTCCCAAGGCACAACAGTCATTTGTTTCCCAAACTCTTTCCTCCAGTCTCGCTAATTCACAATTTCCCTGCACTTGACAAATGCAATTAACAAGCCTCCATCAGTTCCTATGGACAGCCTCATCAATCAGAACACCAACTGCATCCTGCTGAGACGGGAAGGGAGCCACCGTAGAGGGAGAAGAACCTGCCGGACTTCTAAACCGGAGGAGCATGACTAACCGGTGGTCTTTTCTTATGTCCACCTCTATCTTTAAAGTTTCTCCTGCCAACCCTGTCTTCTCTCCAACAGGCCTTGCTGTCTGCCGCCACCATAATTTGTAGCTCCCCTCAAAGTTGGGTGTGTGAAGTCGGCTGGGCTGTGTGCTCAGCAGGGACTTTTCCCACCCATACATTCTAGTAGCGTTTGGGTTGCTTTCTGCCCAGGCTAGAAGCCCACCTTTCCCTCCAGCTGCACATCCATCATCCACACACTGGGAGACCAGAACAGGATCACCAAGGCTTCCACTTCACCCACTGGATCCACTTTCTCAGGGCTCAAGTCTTCCCTCCCCAACTCATTCAAGATTCCAGATTTGGCTCAGCGTGGTGGCACACACCTTTGACTGAAGTGCTTGGGTGGCACACACCTTTGACTGAAGTGCTCGGGTGGCAGAGGCAAGCGAACCTCTGAGATCAAGGCCAGCCTGGACCAGAGTTCTAGGGCAGCCAGAGCTGTTAAAGAAACCCTGCCTCTCGGGGCGGGGGCGGGGTGTGGGGGGAGGTTCCAGATTTACTCTGTTTATCATTTTACACTGCATATAGCCTCCTCCTCCTCCCAACAGAAGGTAGGAGCCTTTTCCTCTGCAGCCCTGGCTGGAACATCCCTGTGCATCTTTCCACCTCATCAACTTTTCATCTCTGCAAACTGAAACAGGAGTCTCTCCCTCCTCCCTGCCTCTCTCTCCTGCTTTGCTATTATTAATGTATTCACCAGATGATGTCTTCACACCACTGTTTCCTGTAATTACAGTGCCTTCTCTCCCACTGTCCTGGCTTATTTGACTGTAAAGTACTTGAAGGAGGGACCGTGTGGACAAAAGATGCAACAGAGGCTGAGGTTGAAAAGTAGTGTAATTTTAACATCCAAGAGTAAAACCGCTAATGCGTCAGGAGCTCATCATCTGCTAACACACGCACCAGAGTTTTGGAGCTTTAGCAAAGGTACTGAAGTAACTGTGGACTTCGCTATGGAATGGGGTGCTATTATTTATTATAACCAAGAAGAACCACCCACACAGGTGCAGACAGCCACTCCTTTCCCTTCAGGAGACAGGTGCCGTATACTTGTCATGTAAATCAGCTACATTGTCACTGGAGACACGGATCCAGCCATTCTCCCGCACGTGGTAGAGGTTGACGGCACCTCCAGAGTAGGCGTCTCTGTAGGTGGCTTGGTAGATGGCCCGGCGAGCCAGATCATAGGCATCCTCCACTTCTAGGTCATAGGAGTAGCCTCGATCCATGACTCCATAAGCATACACGGAGCCAGAACCCACAGAGAAGGCAGTTCCAGAGATCCGGTTCCCCTCACTGTCTACATAGTAGAGGCCTGGAAAAGCAGGTGAGCAGGGAAAAAAGGAAAAAGACCATCAGTTCTTCACTAGCTTATTCATCTTCAAGGCACTTTCTCATTTTCCTCAACAGAGATGTAGCTCTGCAGCAGAATATATATATGCCTTGCATGTGCAAGGTGGCCCTGGGTTTGATTTCTACCCTCCACCACACACTACCACCACCCAAATGGAATCTCAGCACACTTGGAAGGTGGAGGCAGGAGGATCAGGAGTTAAAGGCTAGCCTTAATTATGTATTGAGTTTGAGGCCAGCCTGGGCTACATAAAACCCTGTTTCAAAATCAAACAAAACAAAGCCTTGAAAGATTGCTCAGTAGCTAAGAACACTTGTTGCTCTTGTCCAGGACCCAGGTTCAGTTCTCAGTATCCACAGGGTAGCTCACAACTGTCTGCAACATACACACATGCAAACACTCACACACACATAGAAACTCACACAGGAACAAAATAATTTCTTAAAAAACTGGAGAAAGACAAGATCAAATTTACTGCTGAGATTTCTAGGTTCCACAACATCATCTCACTTCACATTACACAAACTACCCCGCCTGTTCTCTTGGCAAGTCCAAAAGACAAGTCTGCTGGACATTCTAAGCACAGAACTTCAGGCATGGTGGAAGGTGACACTTAAAATCTAACCCCAGGCCTGCAAGAGATGGCTCCTTCCTGCCAAAGACTAACTGAAACAGAAATGGCAACTACAACTGAGCTTTCCTATCAACACAGTGACAAGTGACCGAACTGGTACTGCAGCCAGATAATGAGAGATAGTTTGGGAAATTTATATTAACTATAAACCAATTCCACTAGCTTTATTTATTTCTGATTCACTCTCACTGTGTGGCCCAGGCTGTCCTGTTGCTAGATAGCTTAGGCTGGCTTTAAACTCTTGACCCTCTGGTTTCAGCCTCCCTACTGCTAAGACCATAGCTGTATATCAGTTGGCTTCTCTGTGTTTTTTCAAATTATGGCCAGTGAGGTGACTCAGCATGAAACTGTTGCTTACCACTAGGCCTGGTGTCCTGAGTTTGATCCACAGAACAAGAGAACCAACTCCCATAAGTTATCCTCTGAACTCTACATGTATGTGTTGGGATGTGCGCTTCCTTGAACTCACAAACACACAGGAAATAAATTTTAAAAATGGGGCCGGAAAGATGGCTCCATGAGAAAGAGCACACTGGTTGCTCTTGCAGAGGACATGGGTTTGATTCCCAGCAACCACATGGTGGCTCACAACTGTCTGTATCTATAGTTCAGGGGATCCAATACCATCTTTTAGCCTCTTTGGGCACTAGGCATGCACTATGATGCACAGACATATACACAGACAAAACACCCATGCACATAAACTAAAACAATTTAAAAAGTTTAATATATATATATATATATATATATATTCATGAAAAATTTTAAAATTATGTGTGCAGAGGCACATGCCTTTAATCCCAGCACTGGGGAGGCAGAGGCAGGCGGATCTCTGAGTTTGAGGCCAGCTTGGTCTACAGAGTGAATTCCAGGACAGCCAGGGTTACATGGAGAAATACTGTGTCAAAAAACCAAAAAAGAAAATCAAGAAAGAAAAAGAAAATGCTAGAGTTTATCCCAGTCACTCACCTTAAATTCTCAAATATAGCTGTTTTTTATAGTCCTTATTACTGTATGAGAAGAAAAGTGTGCCAGACATCGTACTTATTGCTTTATATTTATATAAAGCACTCTACCGTTGTGGCAGCTCATTCAACCAACTGACAGATGAGGAAACAGGCTGAGAAAAAAGGTAACCCAAGGTCAACTGACTAACTAGAACAGTCAATGACACAGCAAGTCTAACTCCATGCCCTTTCCTGTACAGTAAGTACAATGCCTTCCTTGGAGAAGGAAGGAAAAGCTAAGACCTTAATTAACACAGACATCCTCAGCATCCACCAAAAGGCCTTAATTCACCTGTCCACTTACCCCTTCCCAATGCAGTGCCCACCCTGCATCACATAACCACAACACAACTCACCAGGGCCTCTCTTATCCCAGCCACAGATCATGGTGCCCATGGACAGCCCCATGCCTTTGTACTGATACACCATGTTAGCAAGAAGTTTGGAGGCCGCTGCGACAGAGATGCGTTCCTTATTTCGAAGCTCGTAGATTCGACACTGCCGAGCCAACAACCGCTCCCAGAAGCTGCAATCGGCTGCACCCCCAGCCATGGTGCCCAGGAGGTAAGGGTTGATCTCTATCACTTTCTTCACTGTCTGAGAGGCAATATAAGCACCTGCTGTGGCCCGGGAATCAGCTGCAACAATGACTCCATGGCGAAACTAATTAAAGTCAGAGAAAAAACAAAATAGGTCACATAAGGCCACAGATATTTCCAATACTACTTTTTGTATTAACGTAAAACCAGACTATCTTTCTGTATCTTTCTGGATTGTGTAATCGAGTTCACATGTTAAATGTCATCTGGACTTAACAGCAATCCCTGATTTGGGAATCACCAGATTACTCACTTTACATATGAAGAAATAAGTTTAATGCGATAAAGACACCCCCTAAGGGGACTAGAGAGATCGCTCGGTGGTTAAGAGCACTGGCTGTTCTTCAGAGGTCGAGTTCAGTTCCCAGCACCCACATACACCTTTGCGAGTGCCCACAAAGGTCGGTGATGCTGGTTTCAGTGACGCCCTCTCTTGGCCTCTGCGAGCATTACACACGTGGTGAATATACATAAAGGCAACACACACACACACACACACACACACACACACACACACAAGAATGGTGAATATACATAAAGGCAACACACACACAAGAATGGTAAATATGCATAAAGGCAACACACACACACACACAAGAATGGTGAATATACATAAAGGCAACACACACACACAAAGAATAAATAAATCTTTAAAGATCCACAGCTAGTTACTGTAGAGCTGGCTGAGGGGCCTTAATCGGCACTCGCTACAGGAGCCCCTGGACTTCATCAAGCTCCCGGGAGGGGACGCCCAGTTTATAAAACTTGGTGAACCGCTACGACAGCTTTCTTTCCCTCCGCCACGACCGTCTGGGTCTCCTCCTCACTGCCTACCCCGCCCCGCTCCCCTTTCCGCTAAGGGTCGGAGGAGAGGACCGACCCTCCGCCCGCCTCCGTTCCGGCTGGGATACCGGAAAGGCCGGAGCCGCAAGGCGGCCGGCGGAGCACCTTGAAGGCCAGGGTGGTGGTTCCATGAAGCATTTCGATTTTCGGCTCCTCTGGGACACCCCAGCTGGGCGCGGCCAGGCTCAGCCCATCACCAGGACTCCCCGGACCCAGGTCCAGCAGATCCGCACGACCTCCGAGACCAAAAAACCCATGCTGGTTCAACGGCAAAGGCCGCTCCAACACACTAGCCAGCGCCATATCTAGTAAGGGCAACAGGAAGTAGCTCTGAGACCGCCTCCAAAGAGCGGTCGGGCAACTCCGCGCCGTCACAGCTTCACGTCCTATTAAGTCTATGGCGAGGGAGGAGCCATTTTTACTCCGGGCAACCACGCCTCCAAATACCGGTGGCGGACTGTTTTCACTGAGGAAGGGCAGAAAGGAACGCTAAAAGGATGCGACTGCCATTATTACTGTGGTCATCGGAGCAGCACCGATAAGAGTAACTTTAAATTCCTAGAGGGTGGTTGGAACGTTCTCATTGAGTGAGGGAGGTGAGTTCGGCCATCTTTGAGAAGGGCGTGACTGCTTAAGAATCCAAGCTGGAGTCTGGCGTTTGGTCGCCGCCGGCCCAGGTTGAGGTTACACGCTGCATCTGTTTCTAAAACCCCTGTTAATGAGACTGAGGTTGCCATTGAGGTTGCCATTGTTTTTAAGGTCACCCTTCCTCATACTGGTTAAAATAATTGTTTTCAGGCCATTTTCCTATGGTATTAATTCAACCGAAGTAGTTTGTTGTAAAAAACAAATAAACAAACGAACAACAAAAGACATCTCCTCGATCTGAGCAGTGGTAGCGCACACCTTTAGTCCCAACGCTTGGGAGGCAGAGGCAGGCAGGGCGATCTCTGTGAGTTCGAGGCCAGCCTGGTCTACATAGTGAGTTCCAGGACAACCAGGGCTACACAGAGAAAGCCTGTCTCAAAAACAAAACAATACTGCTTCTTTTTAAATAGCATTTATAACACAGCTGTTTTTGCTTTTTTTTTGAGATGTTCATACTCTGTAACCTAGATAATGGGATTGCAAGCCTGAGCCGCCACACCATGCTCGCTGTCCCTTAAAATGTTTTTTTTTTTTTTTTTTTAGACAGAAACTCACTATATAGCCATGGCTTGGTCTGGAACTTGCAGATCAGGCTGACCTCAAACTCAAGGTGATCTTCCTGCCTCTGCCTCCAAAGCGCTAGGATTAAAGGCACTCCCACCACAATCTGCAAAAAGTAACCAGTTTTTTGTTTGTTTTTTGAGACAGGGTTTCCCTATGTAGCCTGGGCTGTGTGTCCTGGAACTCTCTCTATAGACCAGGCTGGCCTGGAACTCAGGGATCCACCTGCCTCTGACTCCCAAGTGTTGGGATTAAACACCTGCACATTTAAATCAGTAGTAATTGACATCTGAGAACCTGAGGGAGAGTTGAGGGTCCATAAAGGTGTAACAAAAGATTCATTAGGAATAGGCCATATTTCATGGCCTCTTCTTCCTCCACCCACCTGTACCCCTCAACACTTTGGGGAGTGATACCAAGTCAGGAAGTAGGCATATGTATGAAATGCTGCTTCCTGTTTATGGGTCTATGAAGTCAGTGTCTAGCCTTGCTTATTGGATTTACTTATCAGTATCTAAATTCAGTATTCTTTTGATGCCCAACTCAGGCCTTCCTCTCCTATAGCAGATTTTGCATGTGCAGTATTTTTCATGCTGAAATCTGGCAACCTTTTCCAAGTCCTACAACCAGAGGTAGAACATTTTTTTTTTTTTTTTTTTTTTTTTTGTTTTTTTTCGAGACAGGGTTTCTCTGTGTAGCTTTGCGCCTTTTCCTGGAACTCACTTGGTAGCCCAGGCTGGCCTCGAACTCACAGAGATCCGCCTGGCTCTGCCTCCCGAGTGCTGGGATTAAAGGCGTGCGCCACCACCGCCCGGCTGAGGTAGAACATTTTTATCTGTCTCACACTTAGATAGTGTAGGAAATGCAAGGTAGGGCTTGTGAGATGACACAGAAGAGCGCTTGAGCTGACTTCAGTTTGGATCCCCAGCACCAAGTTAAAAAGCTGGGTGTGGGCATGAGTGCCTGTAGCCCCAGTGTTGGGCAATGGAGACAAGCAGATTCCAGACGCTTTCTGGCCAGCCAGACTAGGGGAAAGTCAGAATTTTAGGTTGGTTGAGAGACCCTGTGCCAAAGGAACATTGCTGTGGATATCGCTCTATATAAATAAAGCACTGATTGGCCAGTGACCAGGCAGGAAGTGTAGGCGGGACAAGGAGAGAGGAGAATTGAGGAAGGAGGAAGGAAAGGGAGACCGGCTGGAGCCACCGCCAAGACAAGGAAGACGTAAAGTACCGGTAAGCCACGAGCCACGTGGCAAAGTAAAGATTAATAGAAATGGGCTGAATATAAGAGTGAGAGCTAGACAATGATAGGCCTGAGCTAATGGCCAAGCAGTTTAAATAATGTAAGAGTCTGTGTGTTTGTTTTATAAGTCGGCTCCGGAACTGGCAGGACTTGGCAGTGGGAGCTGGAGAAAAATTCTCCAGCTACAGAACATGGTAGAGTGATAGAGCAGGACAGCTGATATCTTCTGCCAGCTGCCACATGTGAATCTGTTCCACATGACCCCACCACATGCACACACACACACATGCATGTTGTTTTTCCTCCGGCACAGTGGCTGCACCTGAATCTACCCTGTTTCAGCCAGTAATTGCGGCTCTGCAGTTAGAGATCAGCTTCTCAGGCAGTGACCTGGTGGGACTTTTATGTCCCACTGGATCTGCCTCCTGCTGCTGCCACCAATGTAGTTTTTTTGGTTTTTTTTTTTTTGGTGTTTTTTTTTTTTTTTTGGTTTTTCAAGACAGGGTTTCTCTGTGTAGCTTTGCGCCTTTCCTGGAACTCACTTGGTAGCCCAGGCTGGCCTCGAACTCACAGAGATCCGCCTGGCTCTGCCTCCCGAGTGCTGGGATTAAAGGCGTGTGCCACCACCGCCCGGCCAGACTTTGGATTTTTTTTTTTTTGGTTTTTCGAGACAGGGTTTCTCTGTGTAGCTTTGCGCCTTTCCTGGATCTCGCTCTGAAGACCAGGCTGGCCTCGAACTCAGAGATCCACCTGCCTCTGCCTCCCGAGTGCTGGGATTAAAGGCGTGCGCCACCACCGCCCGGCTCAATGTAGTTTTTAACTAAATCTCTATCAGTCTATTTATCAATAAGACTCGGGAGTCAGAGGCTGGGGTGGAAACCTGCTAGCTCAGAGGCTGAGAGGCAGCTGGCTGACCTTCCCTCTCTGCTGGTGTCTCAGGAAGAGAGCATCCTTCTGCTCAGCCAAACCAAAAAAGACCACACACTCAAAGTCCCTCCCTACCACTTCCTATGCTTCTCTCTATCTGTCTTTCAGACTCCCTATGATTATTTTCTGTCAACTAGTTGATGGCTCTGCCTCCTGACCCAACGCTGATTTTATTTAATTAGTGCAAATGCAAACTCAGCGTTCACAGTGTGGTTGAATATCCCGGAACACGTGCATATCCTTCCACACACCCCTGCCACACACAAAGAAAAAAGATACTGTATAAAGTTCCTGTTTATTGAGTATAAATTCTTTGCAATCACTTCTGCAATGCATCCAGTCCTCTGACTGCTCTGAATAGTTTTCATTCTTGACTAATTGTACCTGTACCTCTGTTAAGGCACAGTTTTTATTTTTCCGTGCCATGGTCTCACTACATAGTGTAGATAGTGATCCTCTGTTCTCAGCTTTCCCAGTGTGGGAATAGGTGTCTGTTACTGGGCTTGCAAATATGAGCTTACATTTACTTATGTGTGTGCCCACGGGAGAATGTGCTATTGTTTGAGTACCTGTGGGCCCCGTCACTCAGATGGTGTCAGAGAACAGCCTGAATCAGTCCCTCTTTCTAACATGTGGGTTCTGGTGACTGAACTCAGGCCATCAGGCGTGGTGGCAAAAGCGCTTTTTCTCTCTGAGCCGTCTGTCCAGCCCCAGTTGTGACATTAAATGGGAGCTGATTCTCTACTGTGTATCTCTTTGCCTACTTCATACTCAGTACACATTTGCTGTATGACAATAATGTTCTTCCAGTCACAGAGACTGAAGCCCGGGCTCATCTTTGGCTATGTCCCTTAATTTCCTCCATGACTTGCCAGGTTCTCTCGCTTCTTTTATATCCTTTTTCATTATGACTGATATCACCTTTGATTTCTTTTTCTTTTTTTTTTAAAGTTTAAGCTGGGTGCTGTTGTTTGTTTTTACTCTTTACTCTTTTTTTTTTTGGTTTTCGAGACAGGATTTCTCTGTGTAGCTTTGCGCCTTTCCTGGAACTCGCTTTGGAGACCAGGCTGGCCTGGAACTCACAGAGATCCACCTGGCTCTGCCTCCCGAGTGCTGGGATTAAAGGCGTGCGCCACCACCGCCCGGCAGTCTTTACTCTTTTGAGGGGCCTGCCACCCAGCTTCCACGACACATGCCTGTCACACCAGCGCTTAAGAAGCAGAGACAGCAGGACAGTGGGTTTGAAGCAAACCTGGGCTTCAGAGGGAGTGGAAGGCCAGCTTAAACTATAAAACAAGATCCTACCTCAAAACCAAACCAGCATCCCAGTACTGGTGAGTGAGGGGCAGGCAGATCTTTGTGAGTTCAAGAGCAGCCTGGTCCACATAGTGTCTCAAAAACAAAGAAACAACATCAACCCCCAAACAGCAGCAACCACAAAAAATGCTGGGTGTGATGGCACACACTTGGAAGGAGAGTTCAAAGTGAACCTGGATTAACTACATGGGGAGTTTCATGATAGCCCAGATTACACAGAGACCCCTTATCTCAAAACTAAAAACCAAACAAACAAAACACCCAAATCAAATAACCCCCAACCACAACTTTACCATTTTAAGCCTGTACTGGGAAAGGATTTCAGAATACATGGTACTTAAGCCAGACATTGAGGGACAGGATTTCAATGCTGGGGATGGGGGAATAGAAGTGGGAATGTGCTAGGAATAGAAAGAAAAGAGGTTATGGTGGATGGATTGGGAATGGTCCATAGTGAACTCTTGTGGAATATTCCTTTAACTAGGCAAAGATGTGTTTATGCTTCGTTTGTTTAGCTATGTACAGGTGTGTTACATTTGTTTATGTTGCATTTGGTCCATGATGTAAAGATGTGTTGCTTTGTCTGCCTAAGGCACCCGATTGGCCTAATCAAAAGCTGA